GATGCAGAGGGGGAGAGAAGCTGTTCGACATTTTCGGCTTCAGAACCCAAGCGTCGTAGTCCCCAGGGGACCATGTTTGTGACAGAAAGACCACGAATGGGACAGCCGCCGGTCCAGTCATCCCTCCTTTCAATTACCGAGTACAGTTTCCGGTCTGAACGCGCATGGTAGCAGGACCATTGCAAGATTGCAATTTTCTCGTGAACTTCCCAGATTTACCGTGTTCCGATACTAGACGAACTCGAGACATCGATGCTTCATCCTCACAGATCTGAGCAGGATCAAATTATTCCGCAAGTTGGCCGTTAGCACACCGTGGTAGTATTAAACATTCCAGATTATCATAGCGAGGAAGTTATTCGGGTGATCCCGCTTGAATTGACCTCTTGCCTTTTGTTTCTCTTACCAATGATAATTTAAAGGTTAACTGACCGACATTGAGCTTGGGCTTACAGGCCATGATGGCGAGAAAGCCTCCGTCTATGAGTGTCACTAGCCCGTTGGCTTATCACTTCCATAAGCTAGGTGTTATCAAAACGCGAATCTCACACTAGTGAGTGAACAGTGTGCCCATGTATGACGCTGGGAACTGGCATCATATAATCGTTACCTGTGCGGTGTTTTAATGGTCGTTGGCATGTACATACACAGGCGACCTAGTGGGCCAACGCATTGCCTGAATGCCCGTGTGGAAAGTTAGGCGTACTCGAACTGCGTCGCCATTTAACCAGACAGACCAGTGCAATGTCCGAATTTGATGGAATAGCGCGGACAGATCAGTTTGACAGGATCGCTGTTGGTGGGGCTCCTCGTACCGGCTATCCAGTCTTACTGCGGTGGAGTCGGAGGTGGCCGACAGGTGAGTCGAATGCGTGATCACAATAGGGAGTTGGTTGTTACTGTTTCTACCCTACTGCCTTTTGTTCGGAGCGTATGTGGTGTCGTCGGCAAGGATCCCCTTGAGAGGGCACCGTTATTTTCACTTCATCAATACAGTTGGATGCCCATTCCATGAGGACACCCGACCGTATAGAGTCACGCGAAGAACGGTAAAATATACGACATCACACCGGACGAACACATCAGGCAAGATCTCAGGTAGTGCAATTAGGAACAGATCAGACGCCTCTTTAAGAATTCTCTGACAAAGTCGTATACCTGGTTTCTCCGCATGTGGGAAGTTATACGTTGAGGACTGGTCAAAGTTAGCGCTGATATTAGAGATAGGATCGTGCCTAGGCTTTGGGCTAAATAAAATAATAACCCCAGCTCTTATAACCCCACCCTCAGACTAACATTAAGTGTCGGAAAAGAAACTCGAACTTGACCCTAAACGTTTACAGTAACACTAAACCAAGTCTTAAACATAAACATAGTTAAAAGGTAACCCAAAAAATCAAAATAAAAATGGAAAATTGGCAGACGTGTCCTAGAAGTGTTCCGTATCTGGATGAAAACAGTACCCTAACAGGCACATTAAGCGTATCGATTCATCCACTCCGCACTGATCCCTCAGACGGTTCTCATATGTTTTCTCACTATACTGAACCCGGCGACCTTAACTGATCGACGGCCGGAAAAAATAGGCGACGCACCAACAGAAAACTTGTTCGAGAGCATGAAAGATCAAAAAGGACGACATTGCTTACTCTGTCAGTGGGGGCATTAGTTCCCTTTCAGTCAACCCAGTGGCCAACCTATCAAAAAAGAGGACAACTTTGATTACCCGCAAACTGGCTCGCTACAAGGTGAACATCGCGGCTCTTATCACTTCAGCACCACACCACTTCTCCCAGCTGAATGAAAAGGATATCGGCTACAAAACCTTCTGGAGCGGACGTCCAAAGACAGGGTGACGAGGTGTTGGAGTCACATTCAGCATCAAGAATGACATCGTGAGCTACTGCCTTGTGCTTGCCGATCGAAGGGGAGAAATTCGGAACAATAATCAGTGGGACTGACTTGTGTGGACTCCAAACAGGACATGGGAATAAAAACCGCCGGCATTACGGATGACTCTGAGCCAACTTCCAGTGAAATTAGGG